CTGCTCTCTTTTGAGACCACTAGAAACCTATCAGCAAAAGCTGTTAGGTAATTATCCCGGCAAAACAACCTAACAGCGATGTGTAGAAGCATATCTGAAAGCATTCCCCTTAAGATTCAGATGAAAATCCAGTTGTAGAAGTCTGCTGTTCTCGCAGTCGTAGTCGCATTCGCGATGACAGTCGCAGCGGCAACGGCAGTCGCAGTCACAGCCTCAGCCTCAGCCTGCCTCAGCCTCAGCCTGAGCCTGCCTCAGCCTCAGCCTGCCTCAGCCTCAGCCTCAGCCTGCTTCAGCCTCAGCTTCAGTCTGCCTCAGCCTCAGCAACTTCAGCCTGCCTCTGCCTCAGCCTGCGTCAGCCTCAGCCTCAGCCTGCCTCAGCCTCAGCCTCAGCCTCAGCCTCAGCATCAGCCTCAGCTTCAGCCTCAGCCTCAGCCTACCTCCGCCTCAGCCTCAGTCTGCTTCAGCCTCAGCCTCAGTCTGCCTTCAGCCTCGGCCTCAGCCTCAGCCTGCCCCAGCCTCAGCCTGCCTCGGCCGCAGCATCAGCCTGCCTCAGCATTCAAAATGTGGCCCAGGAGTGGAGTTCTGGGAACTAGAATAACACGAAGTGGCCTACAGTTGGCTCCGGGCATTCAAAATGATACCCAGGAATGGAGTTCTGGGAACTTGAAGAGCACGAAGTGGCCTACAATTGGCTCCGGGCATCCAAAATGTGGCCCGGGAATGGAGTTCTGGGAAATCGAAGAGCACGAGGTGGCCTACAGTTGGCTCCGGGCATCCAAAATGTGGCCCGGGAGTGGAGTTCTGGGAAGTCGAAGAGCACGAAGTGGCCTACAGTTGGCTCCAGGCATTCAGAATGTGGCCCGGGAATGGAGTTTTGGGAGGTCGAAGAGCACGAAGTGTGTGACTGTTTGCGAAAAGCGCATTCGGACACGAGTTCGGACACAGCTCCCCGGATGCCGCCCCGACCCCCCTGTGGAGTCATTTGCTGCTTTCTTTTGACCCCACTAGAAACCTATCAGCAAAAGCTGTTAGGTAAAAAAGTTGCAACGCGTAGCTTCTTCAGCTGAAAATTCGGTTCCCCCCCCTTACGAATTTGCCGACACCCCGTGAGGATGTGCAATTTATGTGCGATTTTGCCCCATCGGAATCCATCGGAAACTCCTTACGCGGCGCACGGAGTTCAGAAACGAGCGCCCCGCAGCATTCACAAAACATTTGGTTTTGCGATTTGTGGTTTTTTATATGCACAAACGTGGTTTGATCGCGTCCTGGTGATATGTTAAGTGAGCCGTTGTGCTTTGTTGCCTGACCGGTTGTTCCAACGTGTCCATTACATGCGACCAGGCCGGCATTTTTCGCGCGCGCTTCCGAATCATTCGAACGCCCTCGCGCGCTTGTTGGTGCGTGTGTGTGTGTGTGTGTGTGTGTGTGTGTGTGTGTGTGTGTGTGTGTGTGTGTGTGTGTGTGTGTGTGTGTGTGTGTGTGTGTGTGTGTGTGTGTGTGTGTGTGTGTGTGTGTGTGTGTGTGTGTGTGTGTGTGTGTGTGTGTGTGCGTGCGTGCGTGCGTGCGTGCGTGCGTGCGTGCGTGCGTGCGTGCGTGCGTGCGTGCGTGCGTGCGTGCGTGCGTGCGCGTGCGTGCGTGCGTGCGTGCGTGCGTGCGTGCGTGCGTGCGTGCGTGCGTGCGTGCGTGCGTGCGTGCGCGTGTGCGTGTGTGTGTGTGTGTGTGGGGGGGGGGGGGGGGGGCGGCCCTTGCGAAAAAAAACACGCGGGCCACTCGCGCCTGTCGGCCGCGCGTTCATGTCGAGATCAGTCCAACACCTTCATCACCGACGCGTGGGCAACGCTATCGTCATCGGCGTGATCAGCACCGGCGCCGGCAGCGGCTTTCATCATGGTCACCAGCGTCGCTGCTATCATCTTCGTGTCTGCCGTTGTCGACGTCGCCGTGATACCGCGCCCGCCCGAATCACCGACTCGCACTGATATGTCCGCGCGTAGGCGCGGCTTGCGGAACGCGTCGGGGAGGTTCCAGAGGTCACCGCCTTTGCGGCCGCGTCGGTCGCACCAGACTAGTTCGCCGCTCTACGCGCGAGCCTGCGCGCTAGCGCGGCCGCAGCGATTGGCCAACCAACGCCAGGCAGTCATCGCAATCGCCGCCGCATGGGTTTTGCAAACCAATTTTCTGGTGGGGTGGTGGGGTGATTGAGGGAGCAGCGTGGTGACAACCCAGTGCGAACCAATATAATTACACAACGCAGATTGCACCACATATATTGTCACACGTGGGTGGCACCACGTAGATGGCACCATATAGCACAACACAAGTTGCACACCATACGTGGGAACTTGTAGATTACAGAAGACATGGGCTGCCATTCGGCGTAATTGCGACATTGCTCTGTCCGCCTAGTTTTTCCTTTACGACGACGACAATTCAGAAAACAACTTGCGTACTTCAGGTTGGGTTGGGCTGGCCTCGCCGAGTGTGTCGGCGGATGTGTGTCAGGTGGGCAATTCAATTCGGTAGCGATATCAAGGTGGCCCCGTTTTGGCCGAGCTTCTACTCTTGGCCGTGTAGCCGCCGCGGCGCTGTAGCCGCCGCGGCGCCGCCACGTTCTGTGCGAACATTAAATTGTCCGCGAACGTATCCGCGGTTCGGATAAGCGAGGTCCCAAGTTTCGGGCTCGAGCCTGCGTTGGGGGCACTCAGTCGTGCAAGCGGTAAGTATTCAGGAATGTTCCCCCGTCAACCCATACCTGTGACCCCCCTCGAAGGGCATCGGCTGGTCATGACAAGACGTGGTGTCTTCCATCTTTTTAGGTCTTCGGGGGCCGTTTACGGACCTAGAGACGGTAAGCAAATATTCAGGGATGGAGACCCAGCCCCGGCCCAGAGAAATCGTTGGGACTCTGGGATTCGCGATCTGGAACAAAGAAGACATAGGAGGTCTGGGTCGCCAGCCTCTTGACATCTCTACCAAAGCCTCCTGGACCGTTGTTTTCTGCAAGAGAAGAGGACATGCAAACACACAAGAAACGCTCAGGCAAGTTTGCCTGCGTGGCATTCTGTCCCTTCTCCCCCTCCCTTCCCTGTGCAGGGGAACCTACTGGAACCCAGATCGGGACGAATGAAATGGGTACGAACAAAAATGGGTACGGAAATCGACAACAATTTTCAGCAGCTCCTTCCCAGTTCGAACAGGAATCGCTGTCGATATCCACGCGGACGTTGTCTGTTGATGATCAGGAGTCTTCTGCCCGACACTGGCCGCTGCAGGATGTGGACAACGTGTGTGCTATTAAGCATCGCACCTTCTCCTCTCCCGCACCCGCTCCAGACAGGCGGGCCAGCGAGAAACAAGAGCACGGCTTCCCCACGAGTCGAGCCGCGGGTCCCCTGTTGCTGCTCTCGGCGCCCGGGGACCACCCGCGCGCCCCCCCACTCGGGCGACCGCACACAGGGATCCAGGGGGCGTGGATTCGCGACGGGTCCCGTCTCCGTGGGAGGTCGCGGATGTCCGCCGCTGAGCGAGGCGGCGCCGGCCGCATTTTGGGGAGGGCACCTCCCCCGATCCATGGATTGGGCGACCGCGTCTAAATCCATGGATCGATGATCCATGTTTGCGCGCCCCCGGCCCACCCGCCGGGAGCGCCCGAGGGTCCGCGAGGGGGGCAGGAGCGCCACGGCAACGGGAGGGGCCAGATGCGCTCGAGCCCGTGCGAGGGCCGGCGGCTCGAGTCGTTGCGCGGGGTCGAGCAGTGGCGAAGCGTCTTAGCTCGCCTGTAGGCCCACCCAAGAATGTTCTAAGAGGCTCTTGTGGTCTGCGCGAAATGTTCTGAACACTTCTGGCTGGGACTGTCCTGTTTTGACACATCGGCTTGATGTCTGTGCTTAGAATAGTATCTTTGGGTTCTAGGAACACTTCGTGGTAGGACCATAGGAATGCCGAGACGGTCCCTTGGCATCGCTCGGACGTGCGCATTGTTTATCGGCGAGTGCCATCGAGGAGCATTTTTGTTCACGCTGCAAGAAAATACACCTTAGGCGATGCTTAAGAAAACCTAAGTTTTCGGCCAGAGTCTCGATTATTCTTAACGTTCCAATGTAAATCTTAAGATTTTAATTGGAATGTTGGGTTGTTACTCAAGTTCTGAGACTATGAATTTCTTAACCCATGATTTCTTAAGCATTTCGCAGGGTGTACACGCACGAAGCCGAAACATGCACAGGGAATGGACGTCCAAGCGATGGCGAGGTCGGTCCCTGCACACCGGTGGGAGTTTTCGGGCAACCCTCGGGAGGCAGATCGGGGGGCAGGCTCCGGGGCAACAGTGGGGGGGGGGGTACAGTGGGGGCTCATGTCAAGAAGCACCCTGCTTGCCTTCAGGGGGCCCTGGGCGCCTTGAGTTTCGATGGTTTTGCCATGGGAAGCGCGGCGCTCCTACACCAAAAATCGATGGACGTCCTGGGGTCTCAGGGTTGGGTTTCTTGTGGAAGGTTTCTTGTGGTCGGGCCCCTACTGTAAGCCCAGAGTGGGGTGCGCATCGACCCCCAATAGTTGCCTTTCGTCGCCGGTAGGGGCCTGGTAGCCCCGCCCCTCGCAAGAGCATACGGTTCCGCCACCCGGGGCATATCGCCGATTTATCGGCGATGTGTCGGCGATTCCAGGTCGATGTTTCCCCCCTGTGCCAGTCCCCCCTATCTGTTGCCCCTCATAGACGAAGGGGGGGGTCCCGCGGTGACGTTGGGGAGCGAACCCAGCCGGATGCTCACATTTCTTCCTTCAGGGGCTGGTTGGAGCGGTTTTTCTCTGACCCCACTTCTGCCCCTACCCCACCTCTACGTCCTACCAAGCGGGACTGCGGCGGCGGCAGCGGCGCCGACGCCGACGCCGACGCCGACGTCGTCGTCGACGCTGACCATGAGGACGACCACGACCACAACCACGACCACGGCAGCGGTGGCGACGATCCGCGCACGCCGCGACCCCCGCGCGGAGAGGACGTTGTGTTCAGGTGGGGGCGGCGCAACCTGGGGCCGGAGGAGCCGAGCCGCTCCCAAGCGCCCCAAGAAGGGAGCTTCCCCCCTCCCATCCTGGCCACTATGTAAAGGGGTCCTGAAGGAGACGGGTCCTGAGTTTTTTCGTTGTTTTCTGGTCTTCGGGGCCCTCAAACGGGCCCCGAGACCGTCGAAAATGATTCAGGATGAAGGCCCCAGGGTCCAGGAACCCGTTGCCTTCAGGACCCGTTTCTTTCATGCTATCCCATGGGCGATGTAGTTTTACCGCACTTGTAGACACGTCCACGCGCGGTTTAACAGCCAGATCATGCCCTGGGGATGGGCGACGGTTTCGTCGCCGTTGTTCCTCATGTCCTTCTCCACCCCACTTCTCATTTCTTTTGACCCCCTGCTCTTATCCGTCCTCGTCTTTCTCATCCGCGTCCCAGTTCTCCTGAAGGCCTTCTTTTACCCCCTGGCGATCACGGGCATGACCCATCGGGGGGAGGGGGGGGCGAGATGGGGCCGGTCACGTCACGAGTCGCGGCGGCTCCGTCTGCGAATTTTTGGGCATGGCCAATTCCCAGACGGTGCTGGCACGAATCGTGATGTGACCAGGAGGGGCCGGGGCTGTCACGGGCGTAATTGCGAATAGCAAAGAGTTGGCTCTTGCTCGCCCTTCCTTCTTACCATTTGTCTTGCGTTACCAGCAGCGGCATCATGTATACATATGATTATATATATGTATGTATACAGAGCCCCCGCAATTGCGGATCAGAGTAAGGGGGCCGCGGGGTCGTCAGCAGTTTGCGAGGCTCCGAGGAAAACCGCCGCAGGCGACTATTTTCCGCATGTGCCGACGTTTCGTGTCTCGCGGGGCGGCAGCTCATCTGCCCAGGCGTCGCTGAGCTCGTCCGGGAGCTCGTCGATCGCCATGCCACGGCTCTCCACCACCTGCACCGCCGCCGGGCGGGCGAAGCCGTGGGCGCCGAGAGGTGCTCCGAGAGGTGCCGACACGCTGCCTGCGCCGCCGCGCCCTCGGTGCCGCCGTCGGCGCCCTCGGCGCCGCCGAGGGCGCCACCACCAGAGCGCCGCGGCCGCTGCGGAAGCTGCACGCAGCACCCCCTCGGCCGCGCGAGGCAGCCGCACGCCCGCGCCAGGGAACGCCCGTGCGCAGCGGCCACCCTGGTTGAGCCATCGGTGCGAGCTTGAGCCAGGCTGGGCTGCAAGGGATAGAGAGAGAAGCAGAGAAAGAGGCAGAGAGAGAGAGAGGGAGAGAGGGAGAGAGGGAGACGGAGAGGCAAGCAGAGAGAGATGTGAAAGAGAGAGAGAGAGAGAGAGAGAGACAAAAAAAAAGGTAGAGAGAGATGGAGAAAGAGGGAGGGAGAAACCAGAGAGGGAGAGATGGATCATGAGGTGGAGGATGAGAATTAGCAGCAGGGGGAGATGGAGGAATGGAGTATGTGGAGGAGGGCTTCTCCGTTGCAGCGCCAGGGGGAATCGAGGTCCGAATCGAAAATGGGACGTAGTTCTGCTAAGCGGTCATGGTACGGGTTTAACAGGTTTACCCGTTCTAGTGATATTGTTGTTGCGCATACTTCTCTTCTGACCATTGGTACTCATATCTATATTTGTGTAAATGCATACAGCACTAATCAACGACGGACGGCACTGACGACAACTACTACGACTGCGACTGACACCTATGGCACTGCTACGGGATTTCTATAGTGCCACATTCCATTGCTACAGACTTTCTTGTGAATTGTTGCCCTATGCGTTACGCACCGAAGTGTTGGCTAAGAGCACCGTTCCACTACTACTACTACTACTACTACTACTACTACGACTATTACTACTACGACTACTACGACTACTACTACTACTGTTACTACTACTACTACTACTACTACTACTACTACTACTACTACTACTACTACTACGGCTACTCCTACGACGGCGACGACGACTACTACTACTTACTGCAGCTACGATTACTATTACTACGACTACTGTTATTGTATCTTTATTACGACCGCGATTAGTACGACGACGACTACGATTACTACGAGTACGATTATTATTGCCAGTAATACTGCTACCACTACTACTACTTCTACGACGGCGACTACTAATACTACTACCGCTACTACGAGTGCTGCTACTACTACTACTACTACTATTACTACTACTTCTACTACTACACCTGCTGCCACTACTACTACTACTACTGCTGCTACTACGACGACTACTACTACTACTACTACTACTACGACTACGACTACGACTACGACTACTACTACTACTACTACTACTACTACCGCTACTACTACTACTACTAATACTACTACTACTGCTGCTGCTACTACTACTATTACTACTACCAGTACTACTGCTATCACTGTACCTACTGCTGCTACTACTGCTGCTGCTACTCGTGTTTCTACTATTCTGCTGCTGGTACTGCAACTACTACTGCCACTGCTAAAGCTACTATGATTATTGTTGCTACTACTACCGCTACTCCTACTGTCATATTACTACTACTACTACTACTACTACTGCTACTACTACTACTACTACTACTACTACTACGACTACCACTACTACTACTACTACTACTACTACTACCACTACTACTACTACTATTACTACTACTACTACTACTACTACTACTACTACTACTACTACTACTACTACTACTACTACGGCTACTACTACGACGACGACGACTACGACTAGCATTATTACTAGGGTTGATCGCAGCCTGTTTGCACACGTCATTTGCTTTAATGGAGGAATGGAGGGTGTTGGAGGTTCTGTGCGGCGGATTCGTGGTCACAAGAAATATAGGAAACATATGCACGACATAAACTAATATATAAAACACTTATGCGAAACATATGGAACACATACGACAGACGTATGGGACTTATATGCAAACCCTGTAGGGAACATACACCACACACATGGACTACAGGTGCACAACACCGTCAACACATGCGCAATGTGTAGAAACCATGCGCTGTACACGTAGAACACATCACCTTGAAACCATAGGCATCATATGTATATAACCATTTGCAACACCTCTGCACGCCATAAACAAAACATATGCAGACCACATAGAGAGCATGCAGAACACAAGTAGAAGGCATGTGCGCACCATCATAGAAAACATATCCACATACCATAAAGCACATGTGCAAACATACGGAAGCATACTCAGCATAGGAACCCTACGCAACACATGGGCAACTACAATGCACACAATTCTGAAACGAATGCAAGACAGCTGCTAAACATGTGCACGTTGCATAGTAAACTTTGGCAGCACACATAGGACAGATGCGCACATCAGATGCACGTCGTATGGGTACATATTCACAACACGTACAAGCAATACACGGCACATGCGGAAGCCATATGCAACACCCATAGAAAACAGATGCAAAGCACGTAGAAAACATATGCAACACATATGGGGCACGATATACAATACTTGATAGAGCGCGCTTGAAAACCAGACGCAACGGATCTAGACATCACGTGCAGCACGCATAGACAACGTATACAACACATACCGAAGCACGTGCAAACAACACGGATGGAACACAGATGCACCACGACCAGAATACCGATGCACACACCCGAGGAAACACATACAACCATACAGAACATATTATGCAACACGCCTAGAATGCATATGCAAACCGCATAGAAAACATATGCAATACACATAGGGCACATATGGACACAACGTTTGCAGCTGCGCAACATAGAGAAGACATGCGCAACGCGGGTAGGCACCATCAGCAATTTATATGGAACACAGATGCACACCATATAGAAACACATGCACCACATCACATAGATAACACACACCCAAGACAGGTGCACACCATACACATCGCATGTGGGACACATAGACACATGTGCAAAACGTGTGAGCGCCATACGCAAGCCTTGTGAATAAAACGGGTAACAACAACACACAGCACACATATGCAAACCATATGGAAAACCCACGCACACCATACATAAAACCTATGCGTACCATACAGACAACGTCTGCGACACAAATAGAACACACATTCAAAACGTATGGGACACATATGCACGCACTAGAGACCACACGCGCACACAATATAGCAATACGTGCAGCACACATGGAAACATGTGCACCCCAGAAGAATAAGCCTGCACACCATCTGGCAATCTATGCAATACATCCAAGAAAACAGTGTCAGTACATGTAGAAAACATATACACACCATGCAGAACACATGTACAGCCGTATAGAAAACATATGCGCAACATATACAACACATATGCATCACCTATAGAAACCATGCACACCATTGACAGACAACAAATGGCGCACACATCGATGCCATACGGCTGCCATACAGAACATACGTGTAAACCATGTGGCACACAGGTACAACATATATATATATACATATCTACACATCTAAACTCATGCTCTAAATATCGAACGCATGTCAACCATAGGGGAATATTTCAACACTGTAGAACTCATGTGCAACGCATACAGAACCCATGTACGACAATAGAGAAACCATCTCCAACTCCTTTGTGGAGCAGATGCGAAACGTATAGCATACAAGTGCAGACCAACACATATACAGGACATGCAGAACAAGTGCATTTCACATAGCACATGCACACCGCTTAGACAGCATTTGCAGACCATATTGAACATATGCGTACCACGTATCGTAAGACTTTGCAAACCGTCTAGAAAACGTATGCAACACATTCCGAATACATGTGCAACATGCATCGAAACACAAGCAACACACATATAACACATATGCACACCAGCATATGAATTACATGAGCAACCAACCAGATGCAAACATATACAAGGCAAATGCAAAGCATGTAGAGACCAGGTGGTACCATGTATGGAACCTATGCAAACTATACAGAACATGCGCGCAGCAAGTTTGAACACGTGCACACATATGGAAGGTGAGTAAAGACGTACGCAAACCGTTCAGAACACATATGCAACACAC